TTCCTCTGAATCATTTCCAACAATGCAATGTCCTTCCTAAGGTAAGGAGCCCAAGACTGAACACAAGGCTCCAAATATGACCCAACCAGTGACCTATACAATAAAATTATAACCTCCTTAGACTTGTATTCAATATTTCTGTAGATACAACCTAAAATACTATTTGCCCTACCACTAGCAACAGCACATTGCTTGGATGGCTTAAGAGACTGATCAACCATTACACCAAGTTCCCTTTCTTTCATGACAATGTTAAGGTTATTCCCATCCAAATTATACTTATATTTCAAATTATGATAACCCACTTGCATTTATTATGATTAAAACTCATCTGCCATTTATTTGTCCAACTCACTAAATGATCTAAATCCTTTTGTAAAGCAGCATCATCTTCTTCACAACCTAGCAGCACCCAAGACCTTAATATCATCAGCAAATTTAAGTAATTTATTGACCATTCCTTCATCTATGTCATTTTTGGATTCTTTGTTTCCAAACTCTTCAAAATGTGAATTCAGAACATACCCATTCCAACCTCTTATGAGCTTGCTAAAAGCACTACTAAGGTTGATAAAACATGCCAGTCAATAATTTTGAAGGTGTTTACTATAAAAGTTAAACCTTAACAAAGATGAGGATTACAAGATAGACTTCAAAGACTGATTACAACTTATCAACATGGCTTTGATTCTGTAAAACTAGTTTATGGCAAGTTTACACACCTGCTGCATTGATGACACATTTAGTATTTATGATGCCTTTTGGTGTTTCAACATCCCATCTGCCATTGTTAAGTTTTAGTCCTGTGACTGGCACCCCTTGTATGATATTAGCTCCATGTTTCCGGGCAGCTCCTGCCATGGCCATTGTTAAAGAATAAGGATCTATATGGCCATCAGCAGGGTTGAAGAGTCCTCCAAGAAGCTAAAAACAATACAGATAACTAAGTATGCCATCATCACAAAAATGATCCAAATCTTTGAGTTTAAAAAATTAAAATCCACCTACATGCACATGACTTTTCTCTTAAATACCTACTGTATAACACTTCATTCTGCAATCTTCCATCAGCTTCTAAAAAATGAGAAGATTTATCCTCCACTCTATCTCAATCAAAACAGCACATCACAAAATAAACGAACTGTATGGTTCAAGATATTGTCACCAGGATTCTCCTATGGCACCTTAGCAAATGTAAAAACCAATGACTCATTTTTTTTTTAATGTTTCTTCTATGAATCCAAGTTTAAGTTCATCAACATTCTCCTTGGTTATGGCATAGTTTACAGTCTGTATCCCTAAACAGGCACCTGAAAATAGGAAGAAAAACTCAAAACTGTGATATTTTAAAAAATCTTAATGTAGGCCGGAAACTGAGAATACACTCCAAAAATAGGAAATCCTGCTGAGTTAAGAAAAAAAACTCCATATATTATTAAACCCCTTAGATTTATCACTCTTAACAAAATATGTGTTAAAATTAGTTTGTGCATATTATTTTGATTTTTGATAGGTATTAATCCACATGCTTGGATGCAAGTGCATAATTACATGTATATATGCAAAGTTTGCAAATAACTGATTAAATTGGTTATACAATTTTTAAAAAACTTGTTTAAACAAACTCTGGAAACATACAAAGATTAAAAAATATGCATAAAGTTAGAATAAAAGCTATATGATAATATTTTCTTATCATATAATACTTACACCATTCGTATTTAACAAAGGAAACATTTCAGCTATTTCATCTGGCTCTACAAGTTTTTGTGGAGCTTCATGCCATCCCTGTCTCTGCATCTGATGCCGAAATTCATCCATGCGCAATGGTGTCGTGGCTAGCCTTAAACTTCCAGGTCGATGGAAACCAAGCTCCTAACAAAAAATATTTTAAAATGTTGAAGGTTTAAATGGTGTAAACTGACAGGCAAACACAACAACTAATTTCTAAAATATTTAAAACAAAAATTATTTTATTGACAACTTGATTCCTATGGTATCTAAAAATCTTATTCATCTTATCTACAAATAGGTATGTTTTGTACTCTGACAAATAAATTATCAAAACCACAATTCAATTATAAAATTCTTTACCTTTCTACAACAGCATATACCCTTTTTATTATATACTAACGAATTTCTTTAATAAGTACAGCTGAACTTAATTTAAGCACATAATTATGTTTTTCTTTTCCGAGTGAAAAAACAATAGCATACTAATTTTTCCAACAGATAGATCAAAAGGATAAAGGTTAAAACAAAACTTGTATATTAAAAACCACTCTTATTTCATTTTGCAGTTAATACATAAACACACATCTTAGCCATCATAACCACAGTTGCTCAATGTGTCCAGTTATTAAAGCAAGGACAGTTTGTATCTGTGGAATGAGCTGTTATTGGTATCAGGAAGAGCAGTAGTGGTCCCTAGGTAGGAACAAGTTCAGCTGAAATTGGAGCTCTGTACATTTTATACACGGTAGTACTCATGCCAGGAAATAAAAAAAACCTAGCCAAAGGGACAGCCGAAAGCTCTTCACTAATCAATTACAAAACTGCCTCTAAAGTTCAGATAATCTTCCTTGATGTATAAAAAAGGGGCTGCAAAATATCGATTTTTTCATCTTCTTTCTTCCTTTCTATCAGCTGTAATTCATAAACCACTGTGAGCCTACTTCCAGCCTACATACCAAAATACTTCAATACTCCATAAGATGTGCCTTTCAAACCTAGAGCCCCAATTGATCCACAATAGGTTAGTTACAGCCCAAAATATATGCAATGATACAGATTGTTTAATATTGCCAATATGCATATCAATCAATACATGGTTTGACCTGTGAAACTAATGCTACCAGACTTGACATGTTTTGAAACATGTAAGTTGTATCTTTATATTACATATTTACTGTTAAGAAACTTCTGTAGGTGTAGAAAGTTTTATTTCACCAACTTCTTGATAGTTCAACTTAAAAAAAATATGAATAGCAAGCATGAGAAGGTCATTTTGTTTAATCTGTCAAAACACATTTCTGTTTGTCTGAATAAAAATTACATCACAGCTTTCACTCTATTGTCCACATTTTTGCAAACACCTATCACTTAAGATGTAATGTTGACCATCACCTGTTAAAAGAACAAAAGATAGTCACTTTAGATGTAATCTTGAAGAACAAACGTGAATCACTTGAGATCTTAAGTGTCTAAAAATATGTTGCTTGTTTAACAAGTACTGTCAATCTTGATAGTGCCTTATCATTGTGAGTCTAATAAAATCCTTGAGTTTCAAAGTATATTGCTACTGCCCATAATCTGAGTACAGAGAGAGATAAAACCATTATTATGGTTAAATGAAAAATAAACAAGAAAAAAACAAGAACTTCATAGAAAAGACTAAACACTGTAAGGTAACCAAAAAAAAAACTGTGTAGTAAAAACAAACTATGATATGAAACCAAAGATCTAACTTGGAATGAATTTTAAAAAACTTAATATTGTCAAGTCTCTGGTCATTTGTTAATTTCCGATATAAATTCTTCCTGAGGAACTTCAGCGATACAAGTCCTTTCTTAAAT